CACTACTCTCTACTCTCCGAAAATAGGAGAGTGCGCAGACAGCTGAAAAGCTCTCCCAAATCGTGATTTTTGCCTCTCCGCTGCACTAGCTCTCCACTCTCTGAGAGTCTGAGACTCCTGTTTGTGAGTGCACTAGAAGACATGGCGACAGCGCTTGAGGACACGGCGTGATCTGCATTTGTCCGCCCAGACTCCAGGCACACTCTCCAAATTCGGAGCGTCTTGGAGAGTGGTGCTGAGGTCCATCCGAAAAAAAGGAGGTTGCAGGCTGGGCAGTGGGCACTCTCCAATTTCGGATAATGTACTTGGAACTTCATTTCTGACGGCTATCCAAGTTCATTTCCAGGGTTTTTTCGATATTAAGTGTACGGGTGAAAAACTCCCCAATGCAGTTCGGAGAGTGGAGAGTAATGCAGCAAGACCCTTTGGGCGGGCCTATCCACCTGTTATCCCCATCCCCGCACGCTTACGCATGTGGGGTACTTGCTAGACTGTTCTTTGAAGACTATGCCACTCTGCACCTACGATGCTTCACGTTTTGCCTCTATTAGGACCTGGCTTGATCACCACATGCACACAGGACAAAAAATACGGCAGTGTACCTTTCCATGTTCTAGGGGAAGATCTCTCCATGTTCTAGTGAACAGATCATTCTCATTTTGCGCATTTGGTGAGTACTAAGTAGTGGAGCTCGAGGCCCTTATTGAAGATTACATGAAAACTGTTACAGTGGGTCTCGCTGCACTACTCTCCACTCTCCGGGAAATCGGAGAGTCGTCAGACTCTCCGATTTCCCGGATTTTGGGTCATGGCTGCACTAACTCTACAAAAGCAGACTCTACAACTATCGAGGGTACAAAACGACAGCGCAAAGTCCCCTTTTGTCTGCCCAGACTCAAGGTTCACTCTYCAGATTTGGAGCAAATCGGTGGTTCCTTCGAAGGTCTATCCATTTTGCAGGCTGGGCACTCTCTGGCGTCGGAGAGTGCAATTCTTTTGTGGTTTCTGACTGCTGTCCGAATTTCTTTTGGGGTTCTAAAGTAGAGTTAGTGCAGCGATGCATAACTCTCCGAATTTTCGCCGAGTAGTGCAGCGAGACCCAGTATTGCACTCCGGGATTTTTGTTTCTCTTTTGTGCCCTATCGGTCCAATGATGTCACTGTGAAGTGTCGGCCTTTGCACAGTCTAACCCGGGAATGCAGACATGGGGTCTCGCTCCACTACACTTGACTCTAGAAAAATGTATGGAGTTCTCCAAGTGTTGTCAGACGCTAGAAAACATGAAAAAAGTGCGCTTGGCTCCACTTAGGGAATTGCCACACCACTCTGGAAATGTGCAAAATGAGAATAAACTTCCTGCTAGAACATGGCCAGATGCACCCGCCACATTTTTGTTTTTTCCACATTTCGAGAGTGGTGTGACCAGGCCCATACACTAGAGGGTGCTACTCTAGAAGGACACTTGAACAGTAGAGAGTCCAGTGTGGTTTGTCCCATTCAGTCTGGTTTCTCCCATTCCACAACCCCAAACCGCCAGCCTGGTTTGTCCACCCAGACTTGTGGTAGACTGGCGAGTTTCAGCGCCGTTTCAAGACGAGAATGGAAGACCTTAGAGGAAACCGGTGCTACAGGCTTGGGCACTCTACAGGAGTACAGAGTGCGGGTCATTATAGCTTTATCTAGACATTTTCGAGAGGTTTGTCTAGTGTAAGTGGAGCATGGGAGACCTTGGAGGAAAACGGTGCTACAGGCTTGGGCACTCTACAGGAGTACAGAGTGCGGGTCATTATAGCTGTATCTAGACATTTTCGAGAGGTTTGTCTAGTGTAAGTGGAGCGAGGCCGAATTCTCGAATTTTGGAGAGTCTACCTTCTTCCCCCGAATACGACGTATAGACGTATCTAGACTGAAAGATGCTTCAAATACTGCTATAATGACCGTACGTCGTATTCGGGAGAAGTAGGTAGCGTAGTGGAGGGAGACCCATGTTCTAGGAGGAGGCTTGTTTCACTGGCAGTGCTTACGTCCACAAATTATGTGTCGCGAAGTGCTGCTGGACATTTTCTAACGGGGAAGTTTCATTCTCATTTTGAACATTCGAGAGTGGTGTGCCTATGCCCAATGTCATGCAAATAAGTACCACCATATACAAAAACACTGGTGACCAACGAGCCCAGCTCAGTTGGTACACCCGTGAACTGTTGAAATATAGACCCATGTTCAAATCCTGCTTTGGACCTTGATGAACGGAATAAATCATTCTGAATTACCAAGGGCTGGTCCGATCAATGAAGATTTCCCAAGGCCGTCGCCGTTTCTTTTTCTTTTTTTTTTTAACCTGGTGCATATTTTTTATAAAAAGAACGGAACCAAAAAACTCCGTGCACAGTATTTGGGAGCTGAAAATAGTTGTAGCAGAACATATCGCAGCTCGGGAAAGGGCCCTGGTTTCGACGTCCGACATTGTCGTGAAATAGCGGTGGTGGTGTGTCCACAGCGTTTCTGATTCGAAAGAGTCATTTCGACCAACTAGGATTTCCAGCAGGTGCTGCTCCCCACCAATAGATGGAGCACGTGTTTTTGAAAAAAAAAAAAAAAAAAAAAAAAAGAAGGATGTGTCTCTTGTCCGCTTGGGGCACTGAAGGGGTATTACTCTCTCGCCGAATCTCGGCGTTCATTGCGATTTTAAATAATTATACACTTTGTGCAACTAACAAACTCGAAGCCTTTGCCTCCTAATACATGACACCTTCAAACCTCTGGCGGTCCTTGAACGCTGTAGCCTGTAGGCTATGCCTGCATTGACATTCGAAGCCAAACCAGCACCCCCTTCATGGTATCTATCTTATTAACCACCCCCTCTAGAACCCTCCACCTGCCTCGCATCACCTAAACACTGCCGAAGTTGCAAGCACCCCGCCAGAGCAACAACTTAGCGAAGGTTCGATCCCTGCCTCCACCTCTACCACCAATAATATCCCCGAGATCTGGGCGATGATACTTCGGAGCAATGCATCGCGGGAGCGTTGAAAAGGAATACGTACGTTCTGTTCATTATACAATGCCTGTAAGTGCTATTCGAACAGGCCTTATTTTTGGATACAAATGCAACGCACATGCGTTCTATTCGAATCTTCCAACTTCTCGGAAAACTGAACTCGTATGGGTTTATGCTCGCGGGACGGCGGTAGTAGCACTGCTGCTGCAGCTGATGATGATGATGATGATGATGCATTCCCTCTGTCACGACCAGACTCCTACTACTCTGCCGGCTGCTCAACTCACCAATGTACCCTGCAGTCCGGATTGTCGTGCTGCTGCTGCTGCATTCCATCTGTCGCTATCTCGAGTACTCCTACTCTGCCCGCCGCTCAACTCACCAATGTACCTTGCACTCAGGGCTCTCTTGTGAAAGCTTGCGGCAGGCTCGGAGTCCCCGATTGCTGCCCGTGTGGCTGACGAGACGACTTCAGCGCGGGTGCAAGAAGCTGCATTGTCCATTATATTACACTAAGTTCTATCTGACGTACATCCGAAGGGGGCGATTGGGCACCCGCCCCCCCTTCCCCTAGGGCCCCTACTACTGATACTGCTGATGATGATCATCATCGTTCTGCTACATTCCCTCTATCGCTACTAGACTGCAACTACTGTACCCGCCGCTCAACTCACCAATGTACCTTGCAGTCGAGATTCTCTTGTGCAAGGTCGCCACGGGACCGGAGTCCGCGATTGCTGCCCGTGGCTGCCTGCGATTGCCGACGACTTTTTTCTCATCAAAGAAGCAACGCGGTCTGATTGTAGAAAGTCATTCACCAATCCGACGTACTGGCCACCCGCCCCTCCTGCCCTCACTACTGATACCGGCATACTGCTCCTGCTGCGCCTGCAGCTGATGCTGCTGCATTCTCTCTGTCGCCACCAACTCCTACTTTGCCTGCCGCTCAATTCCCGATGTGCCTTGCGGTCGGGATTCTCTTGTGGAAGGTAGTGACGGAATAGGAGTCCGCGCTATTGCTGCATGTCATAGCGCGCACTCTCGAAGGGCCTTGTTCCACACCACTTCACTTCAAGTGGGTCGGGAAAAATCGTCTTTCCAGCCCCCCTCGAGAATTGGCTTTTTGTTTTCACATTTAGCATCCCAAGTGCAGCCCAGCCAAAATCCCCACCTCCCCTGAGGTGCCTTGAGTTCAAGAGCGGGCCTTGGGATTCAACCATGGAACGGGTTAATTATTTTATGTTTTTTAAATGCCGCGCGTTCCTGGTTCATGGCCGGTCCTTCTCTCTGTATAGCCAGCAACCGGCCAGCAACAGCTACCGGTGGCGGTACCGGGTGCCACCTGTGGAACTGTGGATTGTGGTGGCTGTGGATTGCGGAGGCCAGTTGGAGTACACACGCATGCAGAGCCGTCCACAGAGATGGCGGCAAACTCCACGTCCTCCATGAAGTAGCACACACATGCACACAAGGACCTATGTCCACCTCGGAGATGGCAGTATCCACAAGCCAAAGCGACAGCAAACAGCTGTTGGCGAAGAAAAACTGCACCGTCCAACACACATGCACGCGTCGGAGTACACACAGACCCATGTTCACCTCGGAGGGTGTGCCAATTATAGACGTCGTGGGGCGCCACACTATGCCGATCAAAACTTTGAATTCCAAAGCCCTGCCTGCACGTGCTTGCACCTCACCCCCGCCCCAGGCCGGTCCCTTGAGTCCCAAACACCGGGCCACAGGCGGACATCTTTTCGGCCTGGTGCTAGCCTACTGGATAGCATGGCCGCCAGGAGGTATACGCACAACGGGGAGCCAGGGGTCCTTTTGTTTCAAGTGCCGCTTTTCAAGGGCGGCCTCTAGTGCACATGGAAGGAGGAGGCGGCGAAGTGTAAATTAATCACGATTCTGTGATTAGGGGGCGCACTTGAAACTCAAGAGTTCTCTAGTAGTGTGGAACGAGGCTCTAAGGACGTCAGGGTTGTTCCAAGCAGCAACGCAGTCCACCTGCAGAAATTCATTCAGCAATCCGACGTACATCGAGATGGGCCCAACCCATCAGTGAGTGGTAAGGTTGTCATTCCAGTGTACTAGCGGGCTAGTGGATAGGTTGTCATTCCAGTGTAGTAGCGGGCTAGTGGATGCAATCCGTTGTACTTCAGCTGGTCAAGCGCCTCTTCGGAACAGCAAACAGTAGTAGCGGGTATAGGCGGTGGGAGGAGCCACGGAACACAGAACGAAATCTGGCCGATGTGTCGAGAGAGCGATGGACTCTCTGCCGATGATGATAGCTGATGTGTCAAGCAGTACGAGAAACCCGTTTCGGCGCGCTTCAGACACCCAGTGAAGAGAGTACCGTGCTGCAGTCCCATTGGGTCCGGTGGCACCAACGGACGTTGCGGTCGCCGGGAAGGCGAAGAGACCCCTGTTCGCTGTCCCTTCTCTTGTGGAACTCCGTCCCCCGCTCTTGCGGATGTTGAGACTCAGCTGAGAGCCTGGGATCCGCAGATCCAACCACGTTCGGGGCGCAGAGATCAGCTTCGCACCTGCCCTTCTCGCTGCGTCCTGGATTGGCTCCTCCTCCCCTCCCAAACAATTTAAGCACATTGTCTGCGCACTAAACGGATAAACCTCTCCGATAACAGCCATTGCCTGACTCGGATGCTGGACGAAGATCACGCCGTAATCCTGCTCCCGCAGTCCGGAGCTTCGAAATACCGTCGATCGAGCTTGATGTTCCTGAGCAGACAGCGGCCTCTCATAACGGGCCAAGTTCGCCGAGCACGATTCCATCTCTCTCTCTCTCTCTCTCTCTCTCTCTCTCTCTCTCTCTCTCTCCTGTCTCTTATACACATCTAGAATGTGTACTTCACATAATACAAAACCCACTAAAAAAGTTTCAAAAAGTAATAAAATTGTTTAGACCCTGAACTAAAGTGAAAACAAAAAGTAAAAAGTGAAAAAATACATGCCACTGGGCGAGCACGTTTTGACACCGCCATCTTTGGTGATTTTTAATTCTTATTTGGCTTAGCCAAATGACTTGAAAATTTACAGGCATGTACCTCACGTCATAGAGAACTCACAAAAAAAATAATTATTTTTAGAGCCCGAAATATGTTTTGGCGGGGGCCGAACGCCGTCGGGTTCGGACCCCATACGGGACCCCAAACGCCCGTACGTACGGAGGTCTGCCCGGGGACCTCCGTACGTACGGGCTGGTGAGCCTGTACGTACGGGCTGGTGACCCTATATATGTATATATTTTACGTATCTTTAGGGTTAAAAACAATTTATTGAAAAACCAGGCCGCGGACTGGGCCTCATCGGCCGCGGCCGACTTTTTCGGCCGCAGTGGCCGAATTGCCCGGGGCCTAGGCCGCGGGTGTCACATAGCCAGACCCCAAAATCACTTTAGGGGTCATTTTTGCACCCTGCAAAACACTTTCCCACCACGTTTACACAGCGGCCGTTGCGGGCCCAGCCAGGGTGCAAAAATGACACCAGAAGCCATTTTGGGACCTGCGGCGCACTCTTTTCTCTTTTGGGGGGAAATGGATACAAAGGTTTTGTGCTGGGAGGTTTTATGACTTTTCCCCAAGTGTACTGGTCCACCCCTGGATGGCCACAAATCTACCTGGCAAGCTGCAGAAATACCTTTTCCCCAAAGTTTCAAGGCAGATTTACGGGTCCCCGTGGGCAGTACCTCCTTTCGTGACAGAGACCTGGTGCGCCTGGCCGGAGGCGAGCACTCCAAGGCAGGCGGCAGGCAGGCGGGTCCTCTGTTGCAAAAGTGTACCTCCTGACACTCCCATGTATTTGCCGTGAAAGAAAGAACCTCCCCATAATTTAAAATCTTCTTGGAAATTTTAGGAAAACAGTTTATTTGCAATTAGGAAGGCGTATTTGTCACAATACACGGGCAGACCGGTGTTCTTACTACAATTTTTCTCTGAGCCCGTATATCTGCAGTTTGCCCTTGAAACTTGAAAGGGCAATCGCAAGAAGGCGTAGAAGAGCGAAGCTGGTGGCGTCCCTGTGCCGCATTTCAGCCTTCATCAGCAGGAAGGAGTCGTCAGGGGACATTTAATTTAGCATCGGTAACGCTGTAAGGCTACGGAGGGAGGGAGAGAAAGGCTTAGCAGAGAAGAGACCATGTCTGGTCCAATTGGCAAGCTACAAACCAGCCCCCCTCCGGACATGACACGTGGCATAATCACCATCAAAGGGTGGTGGTACTCCTTTTGCAGTGAGGGAGGGAAATGAGAACCTACCCACCACTATCATCCTTCAATGCTCAACCAGTCCTTCATTCAGTCAATCCTTTTCCCGTAAGATCTTCTTCTCAATCAGGTCTATATGATGTCAATCCGATACAAACACATCAACTAAAACCTCTCTCTCTCTCTCTCTCTCTCTCTCCAAACCTTAGACTTTTTTTTTTCATTTATATTTCTCCTTACTTTCGATTTGATTTGATTTGATTTGATTATACATTTGCCTCCTTGTGAAGGCCGTGTATGCAACCCAACGAAGAAAATGAAACGAAATTAATTACTAACGTCTCAATCGCTGTCTTTTACTTGAAAGTTTGCTTCTTCGTCTTCTTTTCCTTCTTCTTCTTCTTCCTCTTTTCTTTTTCAGTGGGAGAGGGTGGGGGGAGGGAGGGGGTGCAGGGCGAGGAGAGGGGTTTGAAAACGATCCCAGAACTTGAGTCATCTTCTCCACTGGCCAGTGGCCAGCCCTCAACTTTTGGAAAGATACGACCATCCCGTGGCCCCCCAAATCTGAGCCATAATGACACTAGTACCGTCTTTTTGATTCCGATAGAACGCCCTACCATTCTTGCTGAAAGTATCTAGGCTGAAAGTGACTGCAAATACAGATTTAATGATAGGTCGTTCTAGTGTGCACAATGGCATTTAATTTAGTAGATGCTTGGTTCCTTTGAGTCCTCCCTTGCATGATTAGACCCCCGTGCTGAAGACCGGGCCCGTTATCCTGTCCGAGATCATCAATTCATTACACAGAAATGACACTTTGTTTTGGTCTTATTCGAGTTTTTTTTTCACGTAAATGACACTTTAACGGCAACCTCAGCCAGCACCTAGTATATACAAGACCCCTCTTCAACGCACACTTCAGCCGCCAAATGTCATCCATTCCCCAAAGGGCGCGATGAAGAGGCCTGCCCAGGGTAGGATTGTCTGTGAACGCCTGTCAGTGAGAAGATCTGCAGCCAAATGTCACATAAATGACACCCTCGGGCATCTGGAGTCCCTGCCGATCTGTTATGTGGCAGTTTTCTATAATTAATTTTAAATTAATTTCGGAAGAAAAAAAAAGAATTTCAAATCAAATGAACCCTCGAACGCAGGTGCTTATTCTGACCGTTGCTTATTCTTTTTCTTCTGTTTTTTTTTTGACAGTTACTTGTTCTTTTTTTTTTTTTTTTNTGTGTGTGTGTGTGTGTGTGTGTGTGTGTGTGTGTGTGTGTGTGTGTGTGTGTGTGTGTGTGTGTTTCTGTGGGGCGCCCGAGGTAGCAGTCTCTGAGGCTTGTGCCGCACGATGTCTCCGAGGCTTGAGACCCCGCGTGTCAGAAGTCACGCACTGTCTGTGGAGTGCGGCGTAGTTGCAGGTCCGACTGACAAGTGGAGAGAGAGCAATCTGTCCAGGGACCCTCCCCACCTGTGATCCGCCAGACCTACAACCGGTCTGTTTCTCAGTCGAGCCGTAGAAGTGAATGCAGCCCTTGTATAGTGAAGAGGAGGGGTGATCACGCTCGCACGGTCTGATCTCGTCCTCAGACTCCGGAGTCCTCACCGACAACAAATCGGTCTTCCCCGTTTGTTTCTGATCGACCAATTGCAATATTAATTTCGCATATCCGTTGCTCTCACGAGAATCACAACCACTTCATGTCGTCGACAGCTGAGCAGCTCAGGCGTCACTTGGGCGCTGGGCTGATGATCACCGTAGGGATCATGGACAGCAGATCAAAGCCAGTTTGGGGACCGGTGGGTGGGTGCCGAATGGGGGCGACGACTCCTCTTCTCATGGAGATGACGTCAGTGGGAAATTCAATCAAGAAGAAGAGCAACTTGAGCAAGAGCTCTCTTGCAGTAAAGGCTGGACATCTTCAGAGATAGAAGAGGGAACAGGAGGGTGGAGAATCCTTTCCCGGCCGTAAGAGATAGGCTCCGCCGCTCCGCCGCCTGCAGCAGGGCTGAGGGCTAAGCTTGTCTGTTCGGCCGTTCGAGAGTAGCTCGTCCGTCAGCTGCAGCACCTGCGCAAGCTGCTTGCTGCTCTCTGTGGCGGATCTGGGCTTTATATACGATCCGGATTTCCTGCTCAGCACTGAGCTTCAGACACCCCGTGGTATCCGACGATAGGCCCTACCGTCTTCACCCGATAGAGCTCCCTGTAAATCATCGCTGTGTCTGGGACTGATAGTTGGCCCAAAAAAATACAGTTATAATGACCGGGCGTTCTATTCGGCTGAAGACGGTAGTCCAAGTTCCCTGCTTTCCTCGGCTCTAGAAGTCCACACGGTTTAGCGCCTCGGCGCACTACTCACCAAATGGCAAATGTATCTTACGCGAGAACATGGAAACATGCGCCCGTTATATGTTTTGTCCTTATCACATTCGGTGAGGCGAGGGGCTAAAAGACGTCCGCTTGTTTCAACCAGGGAGCCTTGTCATTTGTGAAGTGCCTCTAGAAGTCCACACGGTTTGGACGGGAAGTTCCTTTCAAAAAAAAACAAGAAGAAAAAAAAACAAAAAAAAAACAAGAAAAAAAGAAAAGAGACGGGAATTTGGTTCAACGTAGGAGCCATGCCCCGCAAGACTCGAGTGAGGGAATATTCCAGTAGGACTTGCCTCTGATGAATCTGACCACCATTCCAGCCATAATCGGTGCCGAGACCGACGGAGGTTGTCCTTCTCCAATGCATTATTGGGCCCAATAGCCACAACTCCTAGCGAACTATCTCAGTTGATACACCCATGAGCTGTCTGAAAAACAGGCAGTTCTTTGGGCATCGCCACACCATTCTCGAAATGTGACAAATGAGAATGAACTTCCGGCTAGAACATGACCAGATGTGACCGCCACATTTTTGTCTTTTTCACATTTCGAGAGTGGTGTGGCGACGCCCTTTCTCTCTTTTTTGTTTTTTGTTTAAATTCCAAAGAACACATTTGTCACGAGGCCAGTTAACCCGGCAGCATCAGCCGGTTTAGCTTCTGAGTCTCTCAGCCCAAAACTCTACCTTCCCTCTGGTTTTTTTTTTTTTTTTTTTTTTTTTCGGAGAACTCAACATTTCATTATAACTTCGAAGGATGAGGCCGGGAATCCCTCTGTATTCTTCATTCATCACCTTTCTCTCTTTTCACAAGTTTTCCGGGCCTCTCTCTACCACTCAAGAGATGCACAGCTTCTGAGTCTCACAGCCCAAAACTCTACCTTCCCTCTGTATTCTTCATTCATCGCCTTTCTCTCTTTTCACAAGTTTTCCGGGCCTCTCTCTACCACTCAAGAGATGCA